GGTGAAACCCCGTCTCTACTAAGAAATACAAAAAAAAAAACTAGCCGGGCGAGGTGGCAGGCGCCTGTAGTCCCAGCTACTCGGGAGGCTCAGGCCGGAGAATGGCGTGAACCCGGGAGGCGGAGCTTGCAGTGAGCTGAGATCTGGCCACTGCACTCCGGCCTCGGCTACAGAGCGAGACTCCGTCTCAAAAAAAAAAAAAAGTTTTAGTTTTGTGTAATTTGTCGTGTACATCTTTGTACTTTTTTGGGGGGGCCGGGGCAGGGGTCAGGAATGGAGTCTTGCTCTGTCACCCAGGCTGGAGTGCAGTGGTGCAGTCTCGACTCACTACAACCTCTTAATTCCTCGGTTCAAGCGATTCTCCTACCTCAGCCTGCCAAGTAGCTGGCATCACAGGCGTACACCACCACACCCAGCTCATTTTTTTTAATACTTTTATTAGAGACAGGGTTTTGCCATGTTGGCCGGGCTGGTCATGAACTCCTGACCTCCAGTGATCCATCCTCCTCGTTCTCCCAAAGTGCTGGCATTACAGGCATGAGCCACCATGCCCAGCCCTTTGTATGTTTTTTAATGTAGGATGTCATTATTTGTCCACTTGACTCTCTCCCACTGGTCTGTAAGCTCCATGAGAGCAGGAATTGCTTCCCTTATGTGTGTGCTTAGCTTTTAGCACAGTGCCTAGGATATAGAAAACATCCTGTATATGTTGGATGAACAGATGCTTATTGTCAGTGGTTTAAGTTCAGTTCTCACCTTCTTTTTTTTTGAGATGGAGTCTCACCCTGCTACCAAGACTGGAGTGCAGTGGCGTGATCTTGGCTCCCTGCAGTCTCCACCCTACCACCCCCACTGCCGGATTCAAGCGATTCTTTTGCCCCAGTCTCCCAAATAACTGGGATTACAGGCACCCACCACCACACGTGGCTAATTTTTGTATTTTAGTAGAGACAGAGTTTCACCATGTTGGCCGGGCTGGTCTCAAACTCTTAACCTCAAGTGATCTGCCCGCCTCAGCCTCCCAAAGTGCTGGGTTTACAGGCGTGAGCCACCATGGCCAGCCTATTTACTCTTAAAACTGAACTGCCTCGGTGTTTGTTTGTTTTTTTTCTTCCCTTCTGATGCCCTTCACACCATCATTTGCTTAAAATCTTTGATGTGTCCATTTTATAGATCACAATGCTGTCTTTGCAGCTGTTGAGCAAGAACAAATCTTACATAAGATAGCTCTGAGCATCTGCTTCCTTTTCTCTCTGACCTAAACTCTGTCCTTCCTGGCAACCAGAATGGAGATCATCATTCAGAAAATATTGAATAACTGGCCGGGTGCGGTGGCTCACGCCTGTAATCCCAGCACTTTGGGAGGCTGAGGCAGGCAGATCACAATGTCAGGAGATCAAGACCATCCTGGCCAACACGGCGAAACCCCGCCTCTACTAAAAGCACAAAAAATTAGCCAGGCATAATGGCAGGCACCTGTTACTCGGGAGGCTGAGGCAGGAGAATGGTGTGAACCCGGGAGGCGGAACTTGCAGTGAGCCAGGATCGCGCCACTGCACTCCAGCCTGGGCAATAGACTGAGTCTGTCTCCAAAAAAAAAAAATACTGAATAACTATAAAATCTTTAAATAGAGATTAATTTGAAATGTACAAGTATTCAGCATATGCTATTTATATGTGTGTGTTCATGGATGTTTGTGTATGTAGTTTGTGTGTGTGTGTGTGTGTCTCGATCCACCACCCACCCCATTCACCAGCCTGACAGAGGACAACAGTGTTTCCAAAAGGAATGTAACTCATGCGCATTTTTTTCGTGTTAAGTTTTATAAGAAGACCAAACAGCTGCCAGTCTTAGTAAAATGCTGTGAAGAGATCCAGCCACATCAGTGGAAGCCACCTGTAGAGAGAGAAGAACACCGGCTCCCATTCTGGTTAAAGGTACAACCCTCTTCCTCAAAGTCTGTGGGAGGCAAGTCACTGAAAGTTCTGAGAGAATATCAAGGGCTTCCTTAATTGACTAATGCTTTAGTTGTAGAACTAGGACTTCAGAAATCTTCCTCATTCACCTTTCTTCCCTTACTTTGCCTTTCTCCGGGTGATTCTACAACATTTTCAAAATAATGGGTAAAATGATAATTTGCTAAAGGAAATTCAGAGAAGAGTTTCTGAAGTGTATAATTGGAATGTGGTCTTTGTAGAAATTTGATATACAGAGTCCTTTCTTGGAAAGATGCCTTGAGCTTGTCTCAGGTCCCTAAAACCTAGAAAGCCCTATTCTTTTTCCCAAATTCTGACATATGCTGGATCAGAGTGTTCTTGTTTCCAATAGGCCAGTCTGCCATCCATCCAGGAAGAACTACGGCACATGGCTGATGGTGCTAGAGAGGTAGGACATGTGACTGGAACCACTGAGATCAACTCAGATCAAAGCCTAGAAAAAAACAACTCGGAGTTGGAGAGTGAAACTCGGTACCCACTGCTATTACCTAAGGGTGTGGTCCTGAAACTGAAGCCAGTTGCCAACCGTTTCCCCAGGAAGGCTTGGAGACAGAAGCGTTCATCAGTCCTGAAGCCCCTCCTTATCCAACCCAGCCCCTCTCTCCAGCCTAGCTTCAACCCTGGGAAAACACCAGCCCAATCAACTCATTCAGAAGCCCCTCCGAGCAAAATGGTGGTCCGGATTCCTCACCCGATTCAGCCAGCCACTGTTTTACCGACAGTTCCAGGTGTCCCTCCACTGGGGGTCAGTGGAGGTGAGAGTTTTGAGTCCCCTGCAGCACTGCCTGCTATGCCCCCTGAGGGCAGGACAAGCTTCCCTCTGTCTGAGTCCCAGACTTTGCTCTCTTCTGCCCCTGTGCCCAAGGTAATGCTGCCCTCCCCTTCCCCTTCTATGTTTCGAAAGCCATATGTGAGACGGAGACCCTCAAAAAGAAGGGGAGCCAGGGCCTTTCGCTGTATCAAACCTGCCCCTGTTATCCATCCTGCATCTGTTATCTTCACTGTTCCTGCTACCACTGTGAAGATTGTGAGCCTTGGCAGTGGCTGTAACATGATCCAGCCTGTCAATGCGGCTGTGGCCCAGAGTCCCCAGACTATTCCCATTACCACCCTCTTGGTTAACCCTACTTCCTTCCCCTGTCAATTGAACCAGCCCCTTGTGGCCTCCTCTGTCTCACCCTTAATTGTTTCTGGCAATTCTGTGAATCTTCCTATACCTTCCACCCCTGAAGATAAGGCCCACGTGAATGTGGACATTGCTTGTACTGTGGCTAATGGGGAAAATGCCTTTCAGGGCCTAGAACCCAAATTAGAGCCCCAGGAACTATCTCCTCACTCTGCTACTGTTTTCCCCAAAGTGGAACATAGCCCAGGGCCTCCATCAGCAGATGCAGAGTGCCAAGAAGGATTGTCAGAGAACAGTGCCTATCGCTGGACTGTTGTGAAAACAGAGGAGGGAAGACAAGCTCTGGAGCCGCTGCCTCAGGTCATCCAGGAGTCTCTAAACAACTCTTCCTCTGGGAATTTAGAGGAAGTTGTCAAGATGGAACCTGAAGATGCTACAGAGGAAATCAGTGGATTTCCTTGAGGAAGGAGAATAGAGTCTGGAGACTGGGAGCCTTCACTTCAGCCTCTGATTGGTGGCGAATAGGACGTAACCAATAGGAAACCTTTAAAAGGGTACTTAAACCGCAGAAGATTTTGCAACTGGGGCTCTTGAGCAGCTTGCTTTAGCCTGCTCCAACTCTGTGGAGTATACTTTTGCTTCAATAAATCTGTGCTTTCATTGCTTCGTTTCATTGATTTGTGCAATTTGTTCAGTTCTTCATTCAACATTCCAAGTACCTGGACAACTTGTAGTCAAGACCCTCCGCCAGTAACATATTTTGGCAAGCCAGCCTGGAGGTAAGTCCAAATTGGGGGTTTATTTTTCTTTTCTTTTTTCATTTTTCTTTCCCTCTCTATCAAGCCTTCATTTTGGGGCATGGACTGGAGCTATCTCTGTGCAATGCTCCCTCCACCCCATACAGGGGAACCTTTTCCTCTCTCTTTCCCTTTTCCACGTTGAGACTCAGTGGATAGCATCTGAACATGGAGGCAACTGCAGGTCTGTGCCCGGGCTGCTCTCCAGTGAGACTGAAGGGTATCCATGTGGAAGCACTTGATCACCATCACCCAGTTTGGGTGAGGGACCTGAGTTCTCTTTTTTTGAGTCTTTCAGCTACTGTTTTCTAATAGCTCTTTGGTAATTGAGGGCAGCTGGACAGGGCCACTCTCCATCGTTACCTGAAGGCCAAGGAGTGAATGGTGATAGCTTCCCTGCCCGGAAGGGAGAAAGACTCTTTTCTATCTTTCCTGGTTATAGTCTCTGATTTCTACATGTGACACCATTGGCAGTGGTAGCTCATTCAGGGCGAATTCACACTCAGTCCTCTTAAACCCTCTTTTCTTATGCCAGATTTTCTTAGAGTTAGCCAGTGAGGGCAAAAGACAGTGTCTCCTGGGTATTTTGACTCTTCTACTCAATCCATTTGGCTGGATGATGACCTTTGGGGCCCACAAGCTCTAGAATACATTCTACATCTTGGACCTCCACTGAGGGGACCTTGTTTCCTTCATCTTCACCATATTTCAGTAAAATGGCCTGTTCTTACACAGGATCCATTGTCATGGTGGTGGATTTTTAAACATTCCCTCTCTCATGCAGGGCCAGAATGGAATAGCCAGCCCTATTATTTTTCATGTCTAAAATCAACCTTTTCCCCTGAAATCACCCATAATCCACATGACAAAAGAAACCTACCAGCCTCCTGTTCCTCTCATTAAAGTACACAACTATCACTCTAGTGGAACAGGAAGTATGGGAAACCATGGCCTTACCAAATTATAAGGATGCTAGAGGCCAGTTGCTGTGGCTCACGCCTGTAATCCCAGCACTTTGGGAGGCCGAGGCGGACAGATCACCTGAGGTCAGGAATAGGAGACCAGCCTGGTCAACATGGTGAAACCCCGTCTGTACTGAAAATACAAAATTAGCCTGGCATCATGATGCACACCTGCAAGCCCAGCTACTCGGGAGGCTGAAACAAGAGAATTATTTGAACCCAGGAGGTGGAGGTTGCAGTGAGCCAAGATCGTGCCCATTGCACTCCAGTCTGGGCAACAAAAGCAAAACTCCATCTCCAAAAAAAAAAGGATGCTAGAAGGCAAGGCCTTCATCCAGGGATAAAAGGAGTTCATAGTGAGTCACCAGTGGTGGAGAGAACCTTCCCAAAGTAGTGCTGGCACCCATCAAAGGTCACAGATGTCAGACAAAGATGGGACCCTAAAGGGGAACACCCTTAGGGACTCCAGTCAAGCAGCCAGGAACAATGGGCAGTCAGTGGAATTCTTAATTATAACACTATCTGCAATTAGACTTATTTTGCAAAATGCCGGGTAAATGGCCAGAAATCCCATATGTGCAGGTCTTCATGGGTGTATATCAAAACCCAACCGTGTGCAAAACTCCAGAACCTGTCCCATAATCAAAGGTCCTGAGGCAGAACCAGGTATTGTAGATGATCCTCTTTTTACAAGGGCCACCTGACTCTTGGGGAATGGCAACCTCCCTCGTGTATCCTGTTGCCAAGTGCTCCTGAGGCTCAAACCCAAGAGCAAAAACCAGGGACCCTGCTAAGTTCCCCTCACAGTGGAACACCTTACTCAACTCCCTTCCAGCCCTGCCACTCCTTAGGGAAGTAGCAGGAGCTAAGGGGCCAGTTGTAGTGCAGGCTCGCTTCTCCATAACACAATGTAAAGAAAAGCTAGGAAGCTATTCTGAGAACCCCAGGAAATTTGCAGATGTGTTCCCAACTTTTTACTTTAGCCTTTGGTCTCTCATGGAGGAATGTTCAATTCATTCTAGCAACCTGTTGTACCCCCTTGGAAAAGGAACAAATCTTTGAGGCCACCTGCCAGGAAGCCGATGATTTATTTGCCTGAAGCCCTTAGGGCAATCACCAGGGCCCAGGCCCAGCCCCAGCCCCTACTACTAATCCTAACTGGGCCTGTGACACCCCTGTGGGAATGAGCAACTGGGCCAAATTTCTTGAGGCTCTCCTTGGAGGCATGAAAAAGGTAGCAAATTATGATAAGGGAGGTTACACAAGGCAAGGAGGAAAAGCCAACCATGTTTTACCGGAGGCTGGGGAAAGGAAATATACCAATCTGGACTCTTCCTCTCCAGAAGGCAAAATATTAATGGCACAGCATTTCATTAGCCAATCTGCTCCAGCCATTAGGCTCCAAAAGCTATAAATGATGCCACAAACTAATCAAAATCAGCATCTTGATACTGCCTTATATGGTGTATAACAATCATGACCTGGAGGAAGGAAAAGGAATAAAGAAGAAGCAAGCCAAAATTATGATAGCCAAGCCATCATTGGAGATGCCCTGAATGCCCAAAGAATGTCCAAGGGAATCCCGATGGGCCATAAGGATAATGCCAGCAAAGTCTCTTGCTTCAAATGCAAGAAAAATGGGAATTGGGCAAAGGACTGTACTAAGCCCCCACTGGGACCCTCTTGTCAGTACAAAGGCACCAGTCACAACCCCTGGTGCTGGAGAATTAACTGCCCACTCTCCCACAGAGGAGGTCAGTCAAAACTCTGTAACAGTGCAAAAGGAGAAACTGATGAAGACTGATGGGGCCCAGGGCCTTCCTCACTACCCCTGTCCAGGAACATCATTCATTACTATTATAGGAGCCCTGGGTAATTCTGGACGTGTTGGGCACCCAAATTTGGTTTCTTTTTGATACAGGGACAAATTACTCTGCCTTTACTGCTTATGTAGGAAAAGTTTCATCTGCATCCACAGGCGTTACGGGAATGGAAGGAAAGCCACAAAAAAGATTCTTTATTCCTCTTTTGACTTGTCAATTTGAGAAACAAATCTTCCAATAAGAATTTCTAGTAGTACCAAGCTGCCCAGTCCCCTTGTTGGGAGGGGATATTATAGTTAAAATAGGGACACTGCTATGATTTAGGCACCACCCAGCAAAATTGCTAATAGTAATGCAGACAGTATCTCAGACCACATTAATAAATAGGTCAACACACTAGCATGGTATACTGGGGAACTGGGTAGGGCTAAAACAGCAATACACTTGGACAGTGCCCGTCCCTCAGGGCTTTCAGGATAACCACGTGTTGTTTTGTTTTGCACAAGCCTTGGGGATCTAAGGGATCTAAAATTGGAAAAGGGGTGTACTCTAGTATGTAGATTGTGTGTAGCCCAACCCAAGGGGCATATGACTGAAATACTGTAAGAACCTTAAATTTCTTGGCAAATGGCATATAAAATGTCCAAAAGGAAGGCTCAGATTGCCCACCAATGGATTCAGTATTTAAGGTGTATCTTAACACCTGGAGCCCAGCAAATATCCCCAGAACGAGTGCAAGCCATATGTGGTTTGGAGCTCCCCCCACACCAAGCAACAGCTTTGTTGTTTTCTGGGGATGGCTGGGTTTTGCAGAAGATGGGTACCAAATTTTGGGCTCATAGCAAAACCCCTTTATGAAAGCAAGAAAGGGGCCAGAAAATGAGCCAATTGAATGGACTTTGGAAATGAGAGAAGCCTTTGTGAAGTTAAAACAGGCTGTGAACCAGCCTCCCGCTCTTGGCATCCTAGACCTCACTAAGCCCTTGTATGCAGCAGAAAGGAAAGGCATAGCTGTGGAAATGCTAACTGCCTACTTCCCAAATAAATTGGACAGGGTGGCCAAGCTGCTTGTGGTCAATGGCAGACACTGCTATTTTAGTGGAAGAAGCCACTAAAATCACTCTGGGTCAGCCACTGGAAGTATTAGCCCCACATCAAGTCAATCCTAGAAATAAAAGAACACATCTGTATGATGGGGGAAAGGTTAACCAAATACTAGGCCATGCTCCTGGACAATCTAGATGTGACCCTTAAAACCTATAACACTGTGAATCTAGCTTGATTGCTGCCCACAGCCCCAATAATTAATCATTCCTGTGAGCAGGTTATTGCACACACATATGTTAGCCAGCCTGATTTAAAAGGTTGACCTCTCCCAGATTCAGAGGATGACTGGTTCACAGACCTCAGCAGCTTTGTATCAAATAGGGGAACGCTGGGCCAGATACACAATAGTAAATTACAATATAATTATTGAGGTCCAACCCTTGCCCCCAGGTATGTCAGCACAAAAAGCTGAGATCATTGCTCTTACTCAAGCTCTGACATTAGGCAAAGGGAAAAAGCTTAACATCTATACAGATTCCAAACATGCATTTCTCGTGTTTCATGCTCATGCTGCAATTTGAAAAGAAAGAGAAAGAGGACTACTGATTAGTAAATATTCCACCATAAAGCATGGGTCTGAAATTCTTCAACTGTTGGAAGGAATACACTTGCCAAAAGCATAGCCATAATTCACTGTAGGAGGCATCAAAAGAACGTAACCCCTATAGCACAACGGCACAGAAAGGCTAGTAAGCCAAAGCCACACTGCTCAGGGTGTAATCCCAACAAATTCTAGCACTGCTTCCTTTCTATGATTCCCCAAAATAACCTGAATATACATCACAGGGAGAACAGTTAATAAAGCAGGAAGATGGACAAAAACAAGGATCCTGGTGGTATATGGTATCAAAAGTGTATCTCCCTCAAACAACCCAATGGAGAATTATAAAAATCCTGCACGACTCTTTCCATGTATGAGGAGATGCCACTCTTGCCATGATAAACATGCTCTTCATTGGGCCTGATTTAACTTCCATG